CCCCCCGGAGCTGCCCGCGGTGCTGCCGGGCCGGCGGCGGGCCGGGGGCGCCGGGCGCGGGCGGCGGTGGCGGGAGCGGGGCGGGCGTGGGGCGCGGCGGGGCCGCGTTGCTGGCCAGGCAGGGCGGCGACGGCACCACGGAGCTCTTCTTGGAGTTGTACAGGCTGGGATCCTCCTCGGCGAGGCCTGCCGGCCACTGCGGCTGCCCGCAGAGGCTCTTCTGGATCTTCTTGAGTCCCAGGTGGGCAATTTCTAGGATGTTGAGGAAGAGGGAGACGGCGGCGATGCTGTTCATGAAAACCATAAAGATGGTCTTCTCTGTGGGTCGGGACACAAAACAATCCACCGTGTTAGGGCATGGGGGCCGAGTGCATTTGTAAAGGGGGGACATGTGAAACCCATATAAAAGATACTGACCTATCATAAAGCCCACTTCAACCACCGACCGGGTCAGGATATGTAGGATATAGGTGCGCAGCAGGGACCCTCTCAGAGGTGCCTTATTCACTTTCTTCTGTTCCTCCAGCTTACGCAGTTCTCTCTCCACTCTCCTGTGTTCCTCGAGCATGGGCTCCAGGTCTTCCAGCTGAGCCCGCAGGTGGGCTTTCCTGTTCTGTCGCTCTTTCTCAAGTGCCCTTAACCTGTAGAGTGCATGGCCCATGTACACTAATGATGGGGAGGAGACAAATATGATCTGTAGAACCCAGTATCTGATCAAAGAGATGGGAAAGGCTTTGTCATAACAGATGTTGTTGCAGCCAGGTTGCTCTGTGTTGCAGATGAACTCGGACTGCTCGTCATCCCAGACATCTTCAGCAGCCACTCCCAGCACCAGCATCCGGAATATGAACAGGATTGTGAGCCAGATTTTGCCAACTATGGTGGAGTGGATGTGCACTTCTTCTAGGATGCTGCCCAACAGGTTCCAGTCCCCCATGGTCAGAAGTTCATTTCTGAAACAAACAAAAAAAAGGTATTTTTATACAATGATGGTTTTCTTTTGGGAATGTCCCATTTAAGTTTGTTTTGTTTCATTTTGTTTTAATAATGATCTTTCATATACATTCTTTTGATAGTAAGAGAATTCTTAGAATTTCATAATTATTTTCTACTTACTGGGTCTACAAATTAGTTCAGACTTCATGATTATTGGTCAAAGATGCAAATATGAGATGATTTTAAGATTAAGAGAGATTGATTTCACCTGTAAGCCACACTGCTTGTAATTGCCCACAGTTTTACACTATTTTCTTCCCACTAGAAAAGAAGACAAAGACAATTTCTTTCCCAATTTGCAAATCGTCTGCCAAATACAGTTTAATTCTATACCCACTCCATTCCACATTGACTGTGGCTTTGCCACAGTGTTGCCATAATATATAATGCTCATGACTTTCATTTCTTGGATAAAGTTTTGAGAAGTATCCTATAACTGTGACTAAAAAAAAAAAAGTTTCATTTTTTACCCCAAGGTAGTAGCATTATTAGTGCCATCCATCCAATATCTTCCCATCTACCAAGGTAGCAGTTCACAAGTTTCTCTCTTGGCTTCCTAAAACTACAAATCCATTGCTGATTTACACATAGCTGTACATTTGTAGTTCTAGGATAATATAAATGAGTGCTTTTACGATTAATACTTTTAATTTTATGCATAAAGTTTTACTGAACCACCAAGACTTTGTCTTAATTATTAATTTCAATATATAAGATAAAAAAATCAGGGATTACACAGTGGAGGGATATGGAGGTTTTTAGCTGTGAGTGTCCAATGATCTTTTTAACTACCTCTTTCCCAGGATTTCTTTGATTTACCAGGAAATTGATCTACATTCTGCTACCAAGCTGCTGCTTTGGGAACTATTTAGGAGCTTCAAGTAAGGTAAGGAATTTAAAGGTAGGGTATTTGACTGTTTATTTGTGAATATACTGCATATTTGGTGTTGTGTCCCCATATTTTTTTCTGCTAATTTGTCAATAAATTATTGAAAGCATCTGGGATCATATCTACCTTAGGGTTTGCACTTAAATTTTTTATGCTACTGTACTTTCAAAACTTCCCAAGTTCCACTAAACTACAGCCTTTAGTAAAGTGCAATTTCTGAGCTTTTTTTTTTTTTTTTTGAGTGTGGTTGGTTGACATGCCCAAAATCTTACACAAATTTAAATGATAGCATAGCTGGGTGATATCACCATTATCGGTATGGCTTGGTTACGGTTTATGATATGATCTCAGGTAGTACAATTCTGCTTTGAGGCTGTATTTATCCATAATGCAAGTAAAGTTTTCCAGTTGTAATCAGCATTCTCAGCATAGGCATCCCACAGACTTTATTATTACGTCTGGCATTTATTTTTTCTCTGCAATGTGAATTTGCACAATCAACTTTCCTTTTTACATACATAACTACTTAAGGAAACCTAGTTAGTCAAGTAATTTCTTAGGTGCTGTGACACACACTTAGAATACCTTGTTTCCCCACTCCTTCCCTCCCATGTATATCACTGAAATAAGACACATGAGAAAAAAAGTCAGCAATAATTATTGTCGTCTATTTTCCTCATCTTTAAATAACAATATCAAATCTTTCTTCTTATTTCGTATGGATTTTATTCAGAGCAGATATCAAATTATTGCAATGTCATTGTCTGGGTGGGTGCAAAGATGTTAATCTGTCAATTGGTTTGTTGGAAAATGTTACATCTCAAGCTATCCATGTCGAACCTGTTTTTCCAAGCTTGGAAGTGCTGATACAGAACATTTGATCTTCAGTAAAGGGAAAAGTAGAGGTTTACACAGAGCAAGCTCCCAGATCCAGAGTACTAAAGAGGTCGAGTACAAGCGGGTGACACTTGCCGGTTGCTCTGTCCTACTTCCCCTGAAAGGTGACTGAATGATGGCAATGCAACAGTTAAGCAAAGGAGCTTTGGGTATATTTGCTGCCCTGCAAATGGCTGATAAATCACTGAAATTGATAGATTCAGCAAAAAATCCTAACACCAAACAACAAAAACCCAAGTGTGATGTTAAAATGTAAATGCAGGAATAAAATGGGAAGGGAGACTTGTGTTAATCCCAAAGATGAAATGCTAGCATTCCTCTAGCAGTAGGAACTGTCATTGTCTGTTTTGGAGGAGAAAGTGAATGTAACCCTTCAGGACAAGAGAGGAGTATAAACATATCACTCTGGCTTTACAGACGCTTGTTTCTCAAGTTGTTTCTACCAGTATTTAAACAACTCTGTCCTCACCTTTCCTTTACGAAAGTCGACACAAGACAGTAATTGTAGGAGTGGTGTAATTCACCCTGTAAGTGAGTTTATTATACCAGGTCACTTTCCCTCAACTCACTGGTAGAAATGCAGTACAAATACAGACACAGTGAACATTGCGTATGAAGTAAAGAAGTTAGTTTAAAGCCACAAAACCCGGAGTTTCTAAGAAATGAGTCCAAACTGCTTTACAACCTTGTCATAGCAATGTGCTTCCAATTTTATCATTTTTTTCCCTTCCCTGTTCTTAATTGAATTCTATATAACAGAGTAATTTCAGTTTACCGTCAGAGAGTAATTTCAAATATGATTGATATCATTATATTCAGTTCATTAGTAAACTAGAAATTCTAGTATTCTAGTACTACAAGGCTATTCTAAACTATTAGCCTTGTAGACTAATAATATACCATTTTTAATATAGATAGTACACATAGATAGTACATACCTGAGATATTTCTTATACCATCTGACAACCTTTGTGACTGCCCAAGTAGTTTTATATGGTTGTTTCAAACAATAAAAATTTATCCATGTAATTGGTTGGAATCAGATGAAAATCTAACATTTCACTTAGGTGAAATTTCTTTATTTCTCAATTTTGTTACTTCTTTAAAGTTCATCTGATTATTTGCCACTATTCAAATCACTTCTATACTAAATTTATGCCAGGTTTTCATCAGTTGTGGTTGGAAAAAGCAGAGTTAAAGGTTTTGTCAGATAAAGTTAAATGTTAAGATGCAACTACTTAATGGCTGAATTTGCACTGATTCAAGTCTGACGGGACCTGCTTGCTCCGTACTGCCCTAGGAAGAATTATTTTTCTGCCACTTACCTTAGGATAAAGCCCTTGGTTAGTCTCTTGGAGCATTGCAGAAGGAGCATGCAGCACTGCTTGTTATGTCTCAGAGACCTTTCTTTGATAGTGCTAGGACACTTTTTTACCCCAAAAGCCAAAGCATAGATGTTGAATGGACTTCTCAGTTCTATGTAGCTGGATGCCAAGATTGCTCTGTCTAAACTATTCATGCACGGTTTAAAAATCATCAGATGATTGGATGGTGCCTCTAGCCAAAATTATCATGCAATTATTCTAGTCAGTGGCATCTAACAAAGCCATTCCCCCAAGGCTCAATCTGGATGTCAGTAGTTTGTTAAGTCCCTATGCCTGGTTTTAGTCAGTTCTTCAAACTTTACACTTCCATCCAACTCCCAAATGAAATTTTATTTGTAAAATGGCTGAATAGTCAGCCTTTACAGTACAATAGAGTCTTACATTTTCTTTACATTCCATTAGTTTTGCTTTGAATCAATGCTCAAAGATCGATCGGTCATGTCCGATTTCATACTCTGTTGCCTGGTGAGTTAATTTAGGATGTGTTAGACTGAGTCCTTGCAAATGGAGGCCACAGGAACCGAGACTCAAGTCTTCAGTTAGAAACACAGGTTTTCAGCACAGTAACCCTTCTTCAGCTGGGTTAAAGAGCTACCCACAAGGCCATTAAGAACTGGTACCTATGAGGGACAAGGCTTAAAAATGGAAGGTGAGAAGCCAAAATGGGATTTGGTGAGAAATCAGGGCCACAAGAGCTGAGGTTCTGATACTTAGAGCTTCTGCTACCTAGTGGTGCCCATACCTAAATTTTATGGGATTCCCAAATATTCATTTTTTTCCTCTCTTGCTCTGGGTTTTCTGGCTCTTTTCTTCCATCTTATAAGGCACATAACTGATTTCCATTTCAGATTCTTATCCCTGAAGATAATGCCACTAATCAGTGTCCAGTTCTCAAAAGACAGCAGCCCCACATCTTCTTTGGAATTATCTCTGATTGATGCACTATCACATCCTTCTCTCTCGGACAAGTCCTGTTTGAATATGCCTTCAGAGCCTTGCCCTGCAGCAGATGAGGTGACTACCTCTAGCCTCAGCCTAATGCAAGAGATGTGTGGTTTATGCACACATTACAAATGCTTTAGGGGCAGTAGGGCTACACTTTCTACTCTTGAGAGGCAGGTTAATATTAATCTGAAACACTCAGAACTCCACAAGCCTTTCTCATCCATATACTCTCATGTACCTGTCACTGGCATTTCATTTTCATGCCTCTTCTTTCCAAATCTGGTCACCAAGTCCTTAAGGCTTTTCTTTGCTGCGTCAACTGTCTTGGACCTTTGACTCAGGCCTGGGTGCTCTATGCTGCCTCACCAGAAGGTGTTGTTGACCTGACATCTCCAGCAGCTTCCACAGTGTTTCTCAGGAACACCCTCTTCACCTCTGCTCTCTCTCTTGCTATAAGCATCTGCCATAGATGAAATCAGCTTACAGCGTAAATGCTAGCAGGCAGCATGTATGGATATGTTGGGAGGGAATATCCTGGAGAACAGAGAGACAGGAGCTTGGCCAGTGGCACCTGGAATGGGCAGCAGTGAGCAGCAGCACAGTGGGAACCAGCATATCTTCATGCCTGACCTTCCTGGACCACAAGTGACCTCCCTGGTGGTAAGTAGAGATCCAGGGAACGTAGTGCTGGGGCAGGAGCTGGTCACAACCAAAGAGGGTGAAAGCTTTAATCTTGCTTTCTTGGTTCTTCCATAAGCCCTAGTATGCAAATCCGGTATGGGGTATTTACTCTACATTGCCTGTGACAGCAGGATTCTGCACCTGGGGATGGGGCAACCCTGGATGTACATACAGACTGGGCAACATGAAGTTGGAGAGCAGCACCACAGAAAGGGACCTGTGAGTTCTGCTCGACAGAAAGCTAAATATGAGTCAGCAGTGCCCTGGCAGTCAGGAGGGCCAACTCTGTCCTGGGAGGAATCAGGCAAAGCATCACCAGTTGGTTGAGGGAGGGGATTGTACTGCTTTGCTTTGCACTGGTGCGGCTTCCCCTTGAATGTTGTGTTCAGTTTTGGGTACCACAATATTAAAAAGACATTAAGCTATTAGAGAGTGTCTAAAGGAGGGCCACGAGGATAGTGAAGGGTTGGGAGGGGAAGCCTTATGAAGAGTGGCTGAGGTCACTTGGTTTGTTCAGTCTGCAGGAGACTGAGGGGAGACCTCATCACAGCCAACAACTTCCTCACAAGGGGAAGCAGAGGGGAAGGTACCGATCTCTTCACTGTGGTGACCAGTGTGGTGACCTGAGGGAATGGCATGAAGCTGTGTCAGGGGTGGTTTATGCCGGATATTAGGAATATGTTCTTCACTCAGAAGGTGGTTGGGCATTGGAACAGGCTCTCCAGGGAAGTGGTCACAGCACCAAGCCTGACAGAGTTCAATAAGCATTTGGACAACGCTCTCACCACATCATGGAATTCTTGGGGCTGTCCTGTGCTGGGCCAGGAGTTGGATTCCTTGTGGGTCCTTTCCAACTCAGGATATTCTATGATTCAAAATTATAAGTGGTGGCTAGTACAAAATAAGTTCTTAAAACATTAGGTCCAAATAGTTTTTATAGCATTGCAGCTTTTCATATTCTTGTCAGGGATTCACACATTTGAAAACCAGAAAAGGATATACGTGGGAACCAATAGTAACCTTGTAACACAGTAGCATTTCCTTATACTAATACATTACTATTCTGATATTCACAACAGTTAACAGTACAGGGTCAAAACTACCTCAAAGCGTATGTGCTTTCTGCTGTCTCACTGAAGCCAATGGATGTGGAAGAGTGAGCTGTACAACAGGATGCAGCCAAAGCAATTCAGGTATAGGCATACTAAAATGCCAGGATGAAACTACAGAATTTTACTATCTTTAGCCTAAACCACTCTATGTACAGTGTAGCCTGTCTAGAAACACCTTGGCCTATTAAAAAAGTCACCTCACTTGAACTTGCCCATTTTTCCATTTTACTACAGATGAACATTACTGTTACTACAGGTACTAACTTGCTCCTTCTGCAGTCTACACCAGGAAGGATAGCTGCAATTTTGGACAGGACTAATTATCAAAGACCACTTAATTAATTAAATTACATAATTAATTTAATAATATGGATAACTATGTCCCAGTTCACAAATTCAAACCACGGCCTCTTTAGTTTAACAAGAGCTGTGCAACTTCCTTTCTGTTACAGTATTTCTCTATTTTAATTCCCCATATCCTCTCTTGTGATTCAGATGGGTTTACTTTTGGTGGCACAGCACAGTACTTTCAAACTCTGATGGGAGAGGCTGTGCCAGCCACCACTGAAACTTTATTCATCTTTCCTATCAAAGCCAATTTTGCTCCTGAAACAGCTCCTGCCCGATTTAATAGATTCTTCTAAGAAATCCTTAAACCTGTTTCTTGGCAGGCTTTATTACTGCTGCCTCTCTTCACAAAGACAAATTACTAAAGATTATTCTGCAGCTGATTTTAGAGTGAAGACAGTTAGAGGAAAGCCTTAATAGAAATAGCTACAGGTTGCTGGATTGACACCTAAGAGAAGTGCCCTTAATTAAGACAACTGTTGTATGTACAACATTAGCTGCCAACAGACTTTGCCTTAGAGAGAATCCTTCCAACTTCAATACCCAGAGCTCTATCATTTCACTATTATGCACATCTTCATAAACCCTGCTATCTGAATTTCCACTCTGGAAAAGTTTTGAAAACTCGCATCCTTCAAGAGCTTTTTAATGGAATCCTGTAATGTGTGTTGGATAAGAGCAGACCCATTCTTCAGTAGCAAGTTGGAGTAAGACTCTCAAAGGGCTGCCAGCTATACTTTTCCAGTGAAAGGCCTTGGATAAAAGGCCTTGGATAAATTTTCCTTTGTAATACTCCACTCAACATTAACTGAACATTTCTAGAAAAAAACTTAAAGTTGTAGGTCCTAATTTGTAAGTAGTTAAAGGTTTTATGCAGTTTGTACAATTGTTTAATTTCTGATCCAGTCGCATCTGGTAAGAAATCAGCAGTAGTATTGAGAGCAGTAATTACACCAGAGCAGCAGCTGAGGAGTTTCATGTTTATTGGCCAGAACATCAACATAGCTACTCATTTATACAAACTAACAGAAGTAAAGTTTAATGCTGCTTCACAGCCTGTGTAGTTGTCAAGCCATTAGCCAACAATTTTAGAAAATATTTTCATTTACCTGAGGTTCCACAAAGAAGACTGCAGATTTACATACAGTACAATTTGCATATATGTATCAAAACTCTTGTTGGAGAAATAAATTACAAACAATGGTAGAAAACCACTCCAAGCCAACCTTTGTTCAACAAGAACACGTGTGTGAGTTTTACAGTTTTATTTTTTGCATCTCCCTTACAGTAAGCAATCTATTTAGTTTATACAAAATAAACCTGTAGTTTTATATAGTTAAAAAAATCATCTTTGGCTAAACAAAGCTCTATTTTTATACATGTATTTATATATATATACAAACATCAGATATTTTACATGACCATGTAGGAACCTGTACACATAGTTACAACAGAGAGAACATTAAACAAGTTTCATACTTTACAAAAAAGGAATCCAAGTCAGACTCAAAACAATCAAACCCTGTCCCCCATCACCTATACAGATACGAAAGTAAGTAAACACAGACAAGGAATAAACAACTTTGTAATAAAATACTGCCTGCTTTTTTGAGGCAGAGAGAAAGCACTTAAGTGAAGTGACTTCCCTCATTGCCTTCAGTACTGTGCACATGTTGATCTCTAAGGATATGGTTAAAAGAGTACTCTTAGTAGAGTCTGACTTTTCCACAAATATGAACAGTACTCTGCAAACTGACTACTCTGAAAACAGTTTCAGCTAGATTTAAATCTCCAATTAATAAACAACTGTCACAAATGTTTGTTAAGAACAAGCACGGGTAGGTACACCAATCCCCCCTGAAATCACCAGGCACTGCCAGCATAGCATGGAAGGTGAGATTAGATCATCAAAAGCAAACATTTTAGAAGGAAGCAAGTAAGATGGAAGACTGCCAGAACTGACATCATCACCTACTTAAGTCATTCTTGTAACAATTTCCAGAGCACTGCCTAAAATGAGGACAATGCACTGTTTGGCAGCATAACAATCCATTCCACAGGTCACATTTACAATACTCCAAAGGGGTTACTGACATCATCACTGACAAATTATATGACAGTTTATTAGAAAGAGAAGTCTGTCCCATTAGTTGGCAGAGGGAGCAAAAAAAACATGCTGACACTGAAGAAATGGTCATTGGACTCTGAAAAAGAGCCAATTCAATCCAAGTTGAAAGGCAATGCACTTAGGTGGGGCTCTTAAATGAAGTCTAACTAAATTCAGCAGACACTCTGACTGAATAAAGACTACAGCAATTCTGATCCTCAATAAAGAATAAAACCTCAAAAATCAATGAATTTATAAAACAAAAACATTTGCAAACTTCCAGGAATGTTTCTCAGGGAGAATTAAAAAAAATCTTTTTAGAAATTTGGGATAAAACAGCAATACGTATGAGATGTGTGTGTGTGTATATATATATGTATACACACACACACACACACACACACACACACACACACACACACACACTTTAGGTATGTTCTAGTAAAACTGGAAACAGTTATAACAAACTTTAAAATAGAACATAATGAATTTCTAATGCGCTAAACAATTTGTAAAGATAGATACAATTGCTGTCAAAACATGCCAAGTTGACAAGCTTTTGAAACAGCTTGTTTTTATGGAAGTTTTGCTCTGGTTAGTAAGTATAAAGTCACATTCTATAGAACTGTAAAGGTCTGTTTTTAAATTAATTTTTAAAAGAAAATCACTTCTCAATTTTTATTTTTTTTTTTTAATAGAACAGAATGTTTATTATGTTGAAGACCTAAATTAAGTACCTCTCCCAGATGTAATTTGGAGCAGTAAAACATAATGGGCTTCGCAGCATAGCGTTCATGTAAAATAATATTTATGCTACTCTGCAAACTGACTATTCTGACAACAAATTTAGTTAGATTTAAATCTCCAGTAAGTAAACAATTGTCACAAATGTTTGTTAAGAACAAGCAGCAAGATCCACCTATTCCTGAGCATCAGAATTCAATTATTAGATAAGCAGCTTTTGGAATCATTGCTATCACTGCCCTGCCTTATTTTAAAAGAAAAAGGCCTCAGTTCTTAAAATATGTTCCAAGGTAACCAGGATGACACACCTGTGATTTTTCAGGATTATCTACCAATTTGATTCCAAACCACTCTAACTTTTTAAGATCATAGTTTGACATCAACCAGTGCAGTACTTTGGCAATTGAAGCAAAAGCCACCACTTTGACTTGACTGCACACCCTTATCTCTGCTTACAGAACACATTTAACCAACCGGAGATGTCACCCCCTTGAAATGATGCTGCTCCATTTGTATGAGCCCATTCTTTCCTGGTCGCTTTGTTTGTGAAGTTCCCGCTGTGTTACTCTGTTAAAGAACTTCGGAGGAAACACAGACAAGTAAATAATTAATAGTGCACCAGATTCACCAAATTTAGTATTCTGGCTTGGATATCTGTCAGTAATCCCATCGCATGAATGCAGTGGTTGTGGTCCATCATTGCAGGTAACAGCAAGTAAACCCTGTAATCATGAAGCAACTTGGTGTGACTTTACTTGCACTTGGATTTCTTGAACAGCTTCATTAACTGCTTGAATCTTTCTGAAACCTAATGGAGACAAAAAACAGACATACCTTTAAGGCCTCAGATTTCCATATCTCCCAAGACAGATTCATCTGACAGCATAAAGTGTTTTAAGACCATCACTATTTTATTTGCTTCCAATTAATTTTAGCAGGAAAACTGTAAGAGCACCATTATTAACAGATTAACTCAATCTAGGAAGTCTTCCTATACCTTTGACACCTGAAATGGCTCTAGCTCTCTGTGGTTAACCTGGAGCCTAACTACTGGTTTAACACAGGTTTCCCTACAAGAAGGAGTTAAAAAATGAAGGCCTCAAAGTCAATGAGCCTAGAATTTTGCAGGTATAACCGTGTGTAAGATTCAAATGTAATGACAAAAGCTTATTTTGTACTCCACAAAAAGCCCAGTTTATTGGTTATCTTCTACCCTCTTGTACAACTGTTGCTTCAGGCATTTTCAGCTCATTATGGAGTAATGTTCCTACTAGGGATTTTACAAAACTGGTCTGTAGATGAGAGTCAAGCATCTTTTTGTTTAGCATAGCTACACCTCACATAGAGAACTCATTCAACTCTAAGTTAGTATTTCTTATTGCTACATGCATATTGCACATGGACTATCCACCAAAGAGCTAACTGGGAAGAGTGGTATAAATGCACAGATTTATCCAACCAGCCACCCCAACACCTTCTAAACCTCCCAAAGACCCTGCAACCACACAATACAACATCCTAAAAGCCAAATCCCAAGCATGCAGGATTTCCTAACTTAGTCAAATGGAGGTTTCTCCCTTTTTAGATTTGCAGGATACAGATTAAGACAGCCATTCAAGACATGTACAAAGCTATATGTAAACCCCTTTGAAAATATTCCACATCAATTTGATGTCTATGTCTTTTGAAATTTCATAATTAAAAAGTGCATGAAAAAAAGCATTTTCATTAAAAAAATGTCCTTTCTGCACAATTCTGATAGTTTTTTTTTCAGCTCTAGTTTTAATACTTTTCTAATTTATTAAATGTGTGCAAAGGCTTTGAACCTCTCCAAATTGTCTTTCTTTATCTAAGAGCTGATCCAACAATAAACAATCCTGTTGTTCCTGGCTTACGAGTGGTATCAATCAAACAGGTACTACAGAATCCCTGGACCATAATATTCCTATAACGTATATTTTTAAGTCACAACTGGGAGAATCTAAGATTCTTATTTTTCCAAGAACCCCCCCAACAGAAGACATGAGGAAAAGACAACTCCAAATTTGCAGAAGATCTCCAGAGATTTTTGTTCAACTGCAATTGTAAACGTAAGGCCATTGTTGTTATCAAATATAAGAACAATATCTCCTACCTGATTTGGGCTTTTGTTCAGCCTAGTGGCCAAAGAAACAAAGGTTTTGCTTGATGGTCCTTTTCTCTGACATTCCAGTAAAATTTCTCGGTCATCATTTCTATAGCAAAAATGCATTTTAAAAATATTAATACACATAGCTGTGTACATGCACACAAATAAAATAATAAATACAGGCATATAAAAAGTTTTGAGTATTTCCAAACCACAGAACACGAGTTAAAACAGCAGCAATGAATTTACAGAAGAGCATCCTCTCCTCTACCAGCACAGAGAAACACAGTTAGTATAAACAAGTAGTAGTGGAGATTATGCTCCACAAATAGGAAGGGCAGGATTATTATAATAGAGTTAGCACCAAGCCAAAGTCAAAGAGTTTTAAGATTCTAAAGCAGACACTTAAACTGGAATTGAAAGGAACTCATAAATTCAGTAGGGGTCAGTGGTTCCAGGTGGACTTGCCTCAGTTTGCAAGGCTAAACAGCAGCTTTCACCTATGGCCCGCTGCCATTCAATGATTAACCAGAGAGGTGTTTGACTTCTGTAAGTGGCTTACTGTAACAAACATACTCAGAGCACATCTACTGTTCACATGAGAATAAAGAACCAGGAGGTCAATTCTTTAATATGTGTCACTGATTTGCTGTTTGTCTCATTAATGAATTTAGGCAAAATGTATAGACACAGTCATATTCGGTTGAAAGCTGTCATATTCCAATAAATTATATTTAATTTCTTCCATTTCAAGGAAAAATGTAATGACTACTTATTTAAATAAAGTTGGTTTTTTTTAGGTATTGTTCTAAGATAGACAAAAACTGTGACACTGAAAACCTAGTCATATTCCTGAGGAAAACTGTAACAGTCTCTTCCTACCTCATTGGTTTGTACGTTAAAAATCATATTAGCTTTTGCTGACTTTTTTTCCATAAAGGAGTTAATTTTCTTTCAAAATGCTACCTAGAAACTTACTTCATATCTGAACTATAGTTTAGAAAAGTCTGCTCTGAAAATTTTAGAAGCCCTTTATAAAGCACTGATTGTATCAAGTTGTAGCAAGAACAGCAAAACCTGCCAACTATAGTTTCTTAAAAGTAAGAATACACCACAATAATTTTGCATGCATTTTCAACACATACAGTCATTGTCACCCACATCCTGCTAATTGGAATATATGGGTTGAATTGTTGACTGGTACATTACTGCAGATTGAGCAGCCTAGACCCCAAAACAAAAAACTGCTCTCATGCCTTCTCAGTGGAGGAAATCAAAGACCTCCATCCCCTACCAAGCCTGTCTGGAATTTTTGGACAGTAAAAATATGGGCAGGGGAAATAAAAAGTACAGACAGTGCAATACAGTAGGTCTTGTTATTTGTTACACCACGTAAGCTTTAAAAAGCAAAGCAAAGAGGACACTTGCTTTGGGAGATCTGGGTAAGTGATGGACATCAATCTCACAGAGCCATCCTGCATAGATAGGAGGCTCCCACTCCACTATTCACAGCAGGATGTAGAGCTACTAAATAACTTCAGTCATTGGCTAAATATCCTTCTCTTCCCTCTTTCCAGTATATCATCTAGCTTAAAAAAAAAATGAAGCCAATCAAACAGATCAAATCAGAAATTACCTTGTCCAGGAAACTACTACCTCTCCCTTCTTTTTAATGATGTTTTTGGCATACAGGCTTGGTGATGATGGAGATGAAACCAAAGGAGAAGAGTCTTTGTTCTGCTGCAGCTCATTCTTGTTATTGGAGCATTGTTTGGGTGGTGAATTTATTTCTTCAGACTTGATATCGCTTTCATTACTCCCTTCACCTGTTGAGTCAGTTTCTTTTCGTTGCCTTTTTGAGTTGGAATTATCTTTGACAGCCTCCTTTTTCCTCTTTTTACTTGTTTTATCATCTATACTTATCTGGCACCCTCCATCAGTCTTTGAAGTGGGTTTTATTTCAAGATTACATTTGCCTGCTACAGTCTCATTGGAAAGCTCTTCTGTTAAGTCTATAGATGCATTGAAGCACTCTTTAAGCTCTTCCTTTTTATCACTGACTTCTGGGTTTCCTGTAGAAGTTGCCTGTGTCCCATTATCTGCTCTGGATGCCACCGCATGACATGAAGTTCCACTGACAATATTGTCTGCTAAGGTTATGTATGACTTCATGCTGCATTCAGCAGGAAAAGAAGCTTGAGATCTAACATGCATTTCATTTATATTTTTGGATACTTTCAACTTGTGTGCCTCAGATTGCTCAGAGCTTTTATCTGGGCTTTCAGTGTCGCAGCTCTCTGTGTTTGAGGGTCCAAGCAACCCAGTAGTTTCTTCCTTTCCAATGCTATTATGTGACTCCTTCGGAACCTGAGGTAAGGCACGATTTTGTTCGTGTTCAGCCCAGACGTGATGCAACTGATCCATCTCAACCACATCTGGTTTGACAGTTTCTTTCACAGTGGCTGCTGTGGCACTCTGACTGCCCTTTTCTTTTCCCCCAGTTCTTATTTCTTCTTTTCCAATCTTTGTTGAGGATGCCTGCACCTCCTTCACTGAAGCCATGTGATCAGATGCGGGTGAGGCAGACGGCATTGCACGCCTAATCTTTACAATAAAATGATCGTTGGATTTCTCCATGATTACTGCTTGCATTGGAAGGCTGGGGCGACACTGAAAACTGGGAGCAACAGGCCGACTTGTCCACGATGATGAACAACTTGATTTACTGCTTGAGTTATCCGATTCTAAGGCCAAATGAATGTCTTGTTCAGTGGCATCCTCCTCTCCAAGAAGCGCATCTTCACTGTAATGTGCACTGACAACACCCTCAGGAGTTGAGCCAGAATTATTCTCAGGTTTTAGGAAGCTGAGGTGAGCATCTGATTTCAAAGGTGATGGAATAGTTAAAGAAACAGCCAAATCTTCAAGGAGGATAGAAGAAACACATGATTTATTCTTCTGTAAATTGCATTCATCTTCTTTGCATGAAGCTGCATTTGTAGAAACCTCAAACATACAGCTCTCATCCAGCACATCTGGATCAACAGGCATATGAGTCCTGCATGCTAATGAGGGAGCTCTTACAGGTGAAACAACAGTCCAGTTAATATCCTGTTCTGGTTTAGATTCCACACATGACTCCTTTGGAGCAATCTCCTGCCCCAATTCTGCAGCATTACCTCTGCATTTATGACTGCCTAAAAACTGTTTTTCTGGAGTCCTGAATTCACACTCATTTCTGTTGATATTGCCACCATTTTTTTCCAAGAGATCAGAACCTTGTAATAAACTTTTGAAAATTTCACCCATTTGAGCATCACTTACAAGATTAAATGTAAGACTGGATGCTTGTTGTTCTGTGAGAAGCTCATAACTAAGATCAGACTTGTCAGCATCTCTAGATAGCTGGAATCCTTCCTTTTCATATTTTACAGCCTTCAATGGAGTAAGAGTGCCTTGCAAATTATTCTCTTTAGAGAGGTGCACTTTTGTTTGAGAATTCCTTGTGTTATCAATGGAGTTAAGACATTTTGTAAAGGCAGTTTTTGGCGCACCTGTTTTATTTTTCTCATGGTGACACTTAAGTTGTTGATAATCCACAATCTGCTTTGAAATGATATATTCCTCAGGCTTTTGAGAACTGGTTTTCAGGGACTTTTTTCTTGATCTCTGCATATCATTTTTAAGAGTAATCTTGTGGTTTTGCTTTCCTGCCCTTTCAAATTTACCCTCCTCACTCCCATTTCCCACATCACATAGCTTTATTATAATTCTCCTTATCTTTTCAAATAAGTAATCAAGCTGTTCATCTACAAATTTCCACAACTGTTTTTTCATGTCTGATACTTGCTGTTCAAAAAGACGGTCCACTATTGCATTCTTTTTAACTTTTTTAAGTTTGGACTCTATAATATCACAGATATTCAATTTTAATGTATCGCCTAACGTACACATCTTGGAAAAGTTCAAGTATCTTATTAATGCTGTAAAATTTATGATCCCAGATTCTATAATTCTGTGAAAATGCTGAACTGGGAAGTGTACCTTGAACTTCATGTAACTTTTCCTCATCTGTTTTCGTACAGCTCTTAGCATCTGCATGATTTCTTGTATATTTGAAGGTTCAACAATAACATGAACTATTTTTTCAAGACAAGCAATGCTCACAGTTTTGGTCTTCTTCATATCCCTTGAAGATCTGACTTTGAAAGTCTGACTTTTATGCCTCTCTCTGTTCTTCTTTGTGCTTACTTTCACAGAAACAAATTTTCCATTATCTTCATTGCAACGCACAGTTTTGCTATTTTGATTCTGTGGACTGCTGGTCAAATTTCGTGTCTCAGAAGAAGCTTTTGGTCCTGACTTTTCTGTATTTTGAGAGCTTCTTTCTGGTTTAGATTCTTCTTCATCTTCATCGCTACTTACAATTTCTCCTTCTTCTATTTCGTCTGAAGAGATACTTAGCTGAGACTCCACCTCTAAGTGTTCATCAGACATGCTAACAGGCTTTTGATTTTCTTTGTTTACCTCCTTTGACAAATTCTTTGAGGGACAGATGACAACCGTACTTTCAGGAATTAAATCTATAAAAGAAAAACAGTTTGCTAATCATCATAAAGAATACAATTATTAAACAGATAGTTTTCTTCTGTAAACTGACTGTTCAGACCTGTTTGTTTGAAACTGGCAGGAAGTTTGAGCTATAACAAGTTTGGACGGTTTGCTTCAGCAGCTGCTAGTTTAAGGGATTTTTTTGAGTTTTAGAGGGCAAATTGAGCTTTATTTTGAGCAAATTTTGAGCTTTAAAGGACCTCAGCATTTCACCAAACATGTGAATTATCTCAAAAATACATCAATTGAAAACAGAAAAATATAGCAGTTTCCATCAGTTTTGAATTTCTTTTCATTTAGTTTAACAAGTTCTCTGAACTCTGCACAAGCTAAATTATAACTGTCACATAATTATGGACTAACATTTACATACAATAGGTGGCTTTTCTTTGAACAGTTTCACAATGAAAACACAATGAGAACAAGTTACCTATTAATGTTTTAATAATCCTGTAAAGGATTACGGTCTGAAACATAAGAAAACAGATTTCAATGCCACCCTACCATTCCTCTTCTAGTAAGAAATTTAAACTTCCAAGCTACTCTCAAATACTCTCTTCAGTTTTCTAACAAATATCTGAAAGAATATGATCCTAAGTAACTTTTGCCTCCATAATTTCAGAGAAAACCCTAATGAGATCTACTCAAAACTAGGCAAAATTAAGAAACCTATATGCATTTTTTAATAAGTTAATACAAAACTCTTATTTCAACCAGTCATCTGTCAGCACTGACTAGCTCCAATTTTTACAGCATGAATATTCAAATGGCTACGAACTTGGTTGCAACATTAAGTGGTTCCACTACAAAAAAAAGGGACCACAGAAACATATGCAGCTTAAGAAGAAACAATTTATATTTTTGAGAAAGGAGTTAAAAAAAGTAATTTCTGCTTTCCATGAGTAGATCTTCTAAGCCTTTATGTAGAAAAGAAATTAGAACATACACATACAAATACCTTTGTTATAAGTCTTCACAAGGCCTTTACAGGGACTTTCCATCTTTACTGCTTTAGCCAAAGGGCGCACTGGACTGTTCAATGGGCTGATTGCCTTCGGAATATACCTCAAGTGATTGAGATCAATGCTCAGTATTGAGCTGTCATCATCAACAGGAATTGGGTTAGTTTCCCTCTCTTTAGTTACAGGACACATCTCACCACTGACAGAAGATGCTGTTGCCGTACCGGTATCAGCTAGGTCTGGCTCTAGATCACAAGCATTCTGATCAACTAGTGGTTCATCCCTATCAGTTATCATAGTTCTGTCCAGTGACTGGGATGTACTCATACTAATTTTGCAGATATCCTTTTCCTCAGTGGGATACTTAACACTTTCTGCAGCCAAGTTACCATCATCCCTCATTACTCGCATTAAAGAGTCTAGTTTTGTTTCACTGATACCATCTGCAACATCAGAGGACTTCAGGTCACCAGAACTTCTGGCTTCTGATTCATCTAAGACAACATTTTGAGAGCCACATTGGTCTGCAGAGCTTTCTATGTCAGCAGCTAGCCATATTTCATCTTCCTCTTTCTTCCCTGCTGCTGACTCTGGAAGGACTCCCATACTTTCACTGGCAGGTTCAGGTTGTGCGACTTCTGCTGCTGGTACATTATCATCCTGCATCACACCCACCCCTGTCCCAGGCAAGTTTTCACACTCTGTCACACTCCCCGTCACCTCCAGGGGCAAAGATACAGGGTGGTTCAGCCCCATCACTGCCACTGCTGTTACTGAGACTTCTGATTCAACCAGATCACAAGCCTCTGCAGCTTCTGACGTGTCAGCCTGCACCACACCAGGAACCAGCACCTCTGCTGCTCCTGGCAAGACTTGGGGTCGTACCTGACCCACTTCTGCTTCTGGAAAGGTTTCTGAAATCGGTTCATCAGTTGCCCCTGCTGGCAGCATTGCAGACTGTGCTGGATCTGCTGCTGTGACTTTCGAGGCTTCATTTTCAGAACTGACAGAAACAGGCAGGGTTGGTTCCATGTTGCTCTGAGCTTCACTGTCCAGAATGTGCAGAGTTTGCTCTGTGGGACCACAGTCTACAGGGTGGGCAGAATGCAAGAGTTGTGCTTGCAGTGTGAGCTCTGTTCCTCTCTTGTCAGCGGCCTTTCGAAAAGGTGTTTTAAGTCCATCTGTTGCAGAGAGACATTGTTTCTTATTAGGAGAAAGAGTTAAATTTAGCTTTTCCATAAAGCTAAGTTTTAAGTCTTTGTTTTTTGTCACAGTGTGGTTATCTTTAGTTTTGGGAACTTTATGGTCTTTTAAGCTATCTGCTACTGTGGACGTTTCTTCCAGCTTATAGAATTTGTTTCTCTCACTTTTTGTAACATTTGTACCTTTCTTGGAGTCTTTTACAGACTGGTGAGAAAATTTTTTTGCAAGTTTTTTTTCATTTCTAAAATGCCTATTTTCATCCTGATCCTCTCTTTCTCTTTTCCTTTTTTCTTCAGTTCTGTGTCTTTCTGATTTGGAATGTGCTGTTTCCCATTCATATCTACTACTGCTTTCCTTCAAGCGTGCATATTTATGCTCTCTGCTGTTGGAACTAGAAGGTGAAGTTCTTCCTTCTCGAGAGGTATGATCATCTGTTCCCCTGTCTCTCTTGCTGTCGATATGTTTTACTTTTCTAGACTCTTCCAGACGACATTTACGTGATTCATGAAGACTCTTTGAATGTTCATTCTTTGAGTGTGGACTGTTCCCCCTTCCAGACCTCCTTGGATGTCCTTGCAGCTTTTCATTTGGTTTATTTTTTTGGCCAGCATGCTTTTCTCCTTTATCATGTGTTTTAATGTCTTTTTTTAATGCATTTTGTAATCTCTCATCAGCATACAATTCACCTCTTGTTTGAAATCTGTCTTTACCAGCTGTTTGTTTCTCCCAGGAAGAAACACTCCTTTCTACTCTTCTTTCTATACTTGGACTACATTTGAGTTTGATGCTCTGACTTTTTTGTTGCAACTCATTTTTACTAGCCTTCTCTGAAAGGGTTTTCAGCTTCTGTTGAGGATCTGAATTCCCCTCTTCACTGTCACCATCATTTCCAGTGCTCTGATGTACTTCTCTCTTGTATTTGCCGACATTTCCCCTACTGCACTGTTCATTACTTTTAATGTCTTTTCTTTCCTTTCTGTTATCCCTGTTGGAAGCATGGTCATAGCTCAGTGGACACATGTGAGTATCATCATTGCAGAGCTCTTCAGGAGGGTATCTCAGCAAATATGGAGTGTTACTTTTTTCAGAGCCAGAATTCCCAGTGTCTGCATTATAAGCTGAGTAAGTGTGGTATGTATCTTTTGAACAGTCACTTTTCATTCTATGTTCCATCTTTATATTGTCACCTAAATCAGAAAGTCTGAATTTGGAATCGTTTGGTTTAGTTGATCCTGGAAGGTATGTTCTGGTGAAAATACTTCGATGATTGGGAAATTCTGCTAGCCTGTTTATAAAAAGAAAAAGAGTTATTTATGTTATTTTTTAATTTATTTATATGTAACTAAAGCTGAACTGCAATGAATCCACATATCTCTAAAAATTGTTAACACTTTCAGTTTCAATTTGAAAAATAATGGGGGAAAAAATGGAAATTTAATAATTTCCACTAGCACATAACAAAAGAATATAATTTATATACATATTTTCCAAAGGAAATTCATCTAAAGAAAAGGCAAGATTAGTGGAAAAATGCTGTACTGGGCCTAACTAACCATTTCAGTAACTCTAATTAGTATTTCATTGTCCAGCATTACAAAGAGCTTCCCTCCAGGAAAAAAAAAAGTTGTTCTTTACAGCATTAGTGATATAAAATAATAATAATAATTTAAAACCCAGCAATTCAATTGTTTACTATTTGTTAAACTGGCAACCAAAAGAATAGGTATAATATGACTGTCCTTACTCTACCCAGTAAGCAAATATACTACCATGTTTGGAAGTTGCTGCAAGCTACAGAAAACAAGAAGTAAATTAAGATAATCAAGCCTTATCAAGGCTACATGCTGCTGCTGAAAGGTCATAATATTAAAAATAATTAAAAAAAAATCAATTTAAAAAGGGCACATGTAGCCTGTATGGCCTAAACTTCTACTCCTTATTGATGAATGCCTCAGTTACCTCACTACTAAAGAAAACAAACCCAAAGCCCCCCACAACAAAACCCAAAAAAGAAACAGACACTTTTCTACCATATTCAACAAAACATTTCATTAAAATAACGTGATTAAAGGCAACGTCATCCTTCTTATACACTCTCCACTACATAGAAAGAATGATAGTATCTAATCCATACAGAAGGAAACAGAAGTAAAAGTCACACCAACAAATGACGGCAGTAAACCATGAAATGTCTGGCTCCATTTTAGAGTCAAAGATGAAGTGGCTGCTACACAGACATTTAGTTTTGGCCTGAAATTCTACGATGATTCAGCATCCACTCATAAGGATTCAATGCAAGTGTAAAATAATTCCATATTTTTCTCCAATACAAAATGGGGTTGGTTTTGATTTATAAAACTGAACACTTCCTATGGGCCAATACAGTAAATTTAGATTTGAAATGAACAGCTTACAACTGGCTCTACTCCAAAAATGTGACATTGTGATGTGAGCTGAGGGTTGAACACAAACAATGCTGCAGCTGTTGGAACACAAAACCCCTTTTTATATTTCTTTTTCATTGAAACTGATAAATTTTTGCTGTGCTTTAAGCTGGCTATTAAATCTATATACATGTTTGATTAATGTAATTGTATCCAAGTGGTGTTCATTTGGTGTTGTGGGATTTTTTTAATAGTTGGGTTTTGGGGATTTTTTGAGATAAGCACTAACAATTCCCTCAGAGATATTAACTTTGAAATAGTCTTCACAGACAGGTGCATTGTTTAAGATAAGGTAATTTATTATAAGCCATGCAGCAGGCATGGCATGTTTCTAAGATCTCAAAGTGCACCTTTACCCACAATTTTCCAGGATGGATGTTCCCAAAATACTTAGATCAAATACCTTGTTCATAAATTTTAATCACCATCAGATTATACTGCAATGTAACTTGTAAAGTATTTAATGAGTTTAAATATTCAAAACAATTAAACATTTTCCAAACAATTTAATTTAAAACTCAGAATACTGCACTCAAGTGTGTGAAAATGACAACTATTGTGTCAAAGCCAACCACTTGAAAGAATTACACAAGTTAAAACCTCTTGACCTCCATCAGATAGTGTCTGGTAATTTTCAGTAGTTAGAAAAAAAATTCCAGTTAATATCCTTATAGCCTTTAGCACAGTAGTGTCAAATGAACCTTCTTTAAGACACCTTTCGGTGCAAGAAAATATCAAATGGTCAAACTAAAATACAAACAAACCAATGATGTGGCTGATGCCACACAAGTGACAAGCAGGTGATCTTGTGACAAGCTAGGGGTCCTGAATCTTGGACACCTGCTCTGGATTCACATGGCTCAGAAGCCATACTCCCAGCTACTCTCCCATCCATACTTTACTGTTTTCAAGTCCTTGCAGTAAGACCAGTAGTACACAGAAATAACCAAGAATTCTCTAGTTGCTATCCCCCACCACTGGAGACAGGGATTTCCTATCTTGACATAAAAACATTATATAATCTATTTACTTTCACTTGTCTGAAAAGTTCCATGGAATTCACGTCTGAGGCCATAAAACAGATCAGTTTTGAAGCTGAACTGTGTAAGATAGTATCTGCTTTGAAACATTCATGCAAATGGTCAACCTTTGGATTCCTTTATGGTTCTTAATTAGAAACCAAAGACCTCATCAGGCAAAAAAGATCTTTACCTATTTCCTCTGATTGTAATAATTTTAAACCACACAATTATTTACTAAGTAATGGTTTTTTTCATTTTTTTTTTAAATACACACAAAAATTTCTAACAAGTATATAAACATGATCAGACAAAAAACATGTTTTCAGTTCCACTGTCTATTTGTACCTTTGATGGAGATGACTGATTTCTTCATCCTTACGGTTAATTTCCACTCTTGCTGTTTTGATAAGGGCTGAAATATTCTTTTTAAGGGCTTGGTTTTCATTCTGTAGAATGACATTCTATTTTAAATGTATACAAAACAGACAGCAAGAGAGAGAAGAAGAGAAAAAACAAGAATTAGCTTGGGTATCCAAACATGTAAAGAAAAACTGCAAGTCAACCACTAGAAAAATATCCCACCCTTTGCAAACTGACAGTAGGATGTTTACAAACTCTTTTGGAGAAGTCAGAATTATTGAGATCCAAAGAAGTTTGTGTGGTTTGTTTTTTTTTTTTAACATCACTCACATTTATGCTCATGTTTGTGTTCCTGGTCATTATTTAAAATCTCTTACACAATTTATTGCTTTCTTGGTCACTATGTCAAATGAGAGATGTAGCTTTTAAGCACTTTCGGAGAAAGAAGGTAATTGTATTTCTTTCAAGGTATCAAAATCAACTCTGGGTGTTCTATCATTCTAAAATTTCTAGATATGATGTTCTAGAACCATAACTGTCAATCCAGAAGATAGTCTTTTCTCTTGATAATTGTCCTCAGCAAAGCCTGCTCAGCAAGGTGGACAAATTTTGCAGAAAACAATACAGAAGTGTCACAGGGCAGCAGCTGTATACCATTGCAAAGCATAGAACCTTTAGGACTTATCTGTAATACACAGTAGAGCACATTGCAGAATTGCCTCAAATAATCTATCTTTGTAGAATGGCACAGCATGGGAACACTAGCTCAAGTTGAAGAGCAGTTCAGATTTATCAAAAAGGCACTATGTCCAAAGCAACACAGACATCCTCTTCCAGTTCTAGTGACAGCTCAAGCACCTTTGCAACCCCCTCCCTAGTGCATTAAAAAAACAAGAATACTAGATACCTTTCTGACAACTATTCATTTGACATGCTTATTTTCTAATTAAGAAGATGGAATACAGCTTTTAAGCAAATAAAGTCTCACTGCACCCAACATCATGAAACAAACAAATGTCCCTACTGATTTTGTCAGTAGGCTACCCCAGCAACTATCCTAGGCAGATCAAGCTCCTAGCACCTATAGGGATGCTCTACCAACCACACATGGATCAAGTCTGGAAAGCATGAAATTGCCTTCTCAAAGCAATATTCAATTCTCTTTACATAAATCTTGACCATGTTTCCCTTTGAACTACAGTACCTGTGCCTGTATTTCTTTAAATTTCTTCATCAACTCTTTAATTTGCTGCTGACATTTTTCATATTCAGCCTGCAACTGTCAAAGAAAGAATAATTCACAGCACAGAAGTGCAGAAAATGTTAATCATAGAGAAAACTTACATCTCTACATTTATAGTTAGTTAACACAGTACTGCATATTACACAGCTCTGTTTTTTACCCAAAAGTAACATATTAAAGCCATATTAAAACAAAAGGCTCCAATTGGTATGCAGGTCTTTAAACCACCACAAACACTCAGAGAAGAGGAAATCTATGTGTGCTTGCCTAACAGTAATAAAGAATTACAGGAAGTCATATTACTGTGAAATTAATGACATGATTATCAAGGAGCAGGAGTTCTGAGAGCCAAACAGATGGAGACTTGCTTCTCAGATTTTATGTAACACGAAATAGATGAGGAAAAACACAACAAAAAGTTACTACAAACAAACTTGGGCTGCAAAGGACATGATCCTGTTAGGATCACAAAGTTAAATAAAATAAATTTGGCATAAGCCCTTCTTTAAAATTAGATAGGGACACAGCTTTCACAGAAGAATGGACAACTTCCATTCAGTCAACTGCTGTCAAACTTTCTAAGTGACATCACTCAGTAGACTCCTGGACGTTTTGCTCCTGCTTCTTTTAACATCTGTGGATGTCTGCCCCTTTTACACCGTTTAAATGTGTCTTATAGGCCAGAAGAGGTGGTGCTCCAGAAGTGAGTGTTCTGTTAATTTGCTAGAAGCAAATGGCTATTCTCAGTCTCAAGGACAGAATTTAACATAAGATAAATCCATGACCTGTCTTGCTTTACTCTGGTAAAATTTGCTGGGAGAAATGTCAAGACTAGCTTTGTATCAGACATCTGAACAGATACTTGACTAGAAGAAAATTACAATACATTTTCCCATAATGTAGCTGATACATAAACTGCATGCAAAGGATGCTACGTGAGAACGGACCACGTTACAGAGTGACAGATTCACTTATTCTAATGGACTTGTTGACATAAGAGTTTATTAGCACACTCTTGTTTTTACTTATTTAAAAACAGTTTGCCTATTTAACAACAATGTGAGTATGCTGAGAACATTTTCTGTGTTTCACACAAGAAAACTTGGAACAAAAAAAAACCAAACCAGATTTTTTTCTACATTAATACATACCTCATCGTAGGATGCTTTCTTTGCAGTCCCTTCTTCAATTAATATCTCATCAAATAAATTTAAGCTGATTCTAGATGGAGTAGAACTTGGAGCAAAATTGTCTGTATAAAGAAAATTAAAGGTATTTTTCTAGTCACGCTGCATTGTATACGCTGTTCTATGCTGCCTGTGCATTTTGTTTTTACTTTTTGTACTCACAAGGTAACAACACACAAAATAAAGAACTATTACATGCTTGTGACATATTATGTTGCAATAACATACACTGAGATTTCTTGAGATAGCTGTCCATAAGTGAAATGAAAAAACCCAAACCAACCAATAACCCAACATCCAAGCACCCCCATTATTTAGATAACAATGCTTTTTCCTCAAATCAGCCTGTGTGCTCTGTTCAGCAAATATGCATAACTGACAAGACCTGGCTTATGACACCTCTGAAATACAGATTCATTTGCAGAGAAATAAATGAAGTTAGCTATCCAAGCTGTGCTCCAATCCTTTGGACAATACCATAATGCAAAAAGTATTAACACCACACTGCAAGAGGACATACAAATAACATCTTATCTGTACAGAGCAAAAATCTCAACGCTCCTCTCTTCAAATTCGAAAAAAACAATGTCCTTCAGAGCTGGACTATATAGACTGTTTTCACTGCATTTTTATTCCTTCTTGTGGCTTTTACATTTACTAAACAACACATCTCCATATGTGAAATACTGACTTAAGAAATGCAAAATGCAAAGCAAGGAAGATATATAGATGCTTTATGTCTGTAGGGTATAGCCCTCCCATAAAAATTCAATAGTCTTATAGCAGCAAGGTCAGTAGAGAAATAATTGCTTAAATATCAGAAATGGCCTTCCATCGAACAGTACACTAAGGCTCCTAAAAAAGAACAGGCTGGGTTCATTTCTTTCTTACCTTCAAAGAAGGGAAATTAATTTACATTAGCATGTCAAATTATTTGGAAAATAACAAAAGATTAAAAGGGTCTCCTGAACATACTGTATCATATAAGAAGTACGTTTTGGCTCTCTCACTGGTGATTTGGTGATCAGCGTCTCTTTGATCTGGTCCGAAAGCTTACAAAAACACAAAATAAAGGTGCTTTTTCCAAGGTAAAATGTCCTATATCAAGCCCAAGCCTCTTAAAATAGCCAGTATCACAGGAAAAACATCTTTCATTCATTCAACTAATAGATTTAAGAATTCTCTGCTCCATTAATACAGTCTAACATATGTCATGAATTTTAACAAGTAGTTCAAAGCTAAAACCACTTGTTTTACTGGAAATCAGCCTAAGAAGCAGAGTCTCTATAATGCTCCAAGCCAAACAGCAAGACACAATCAACCTACCAGAAACCGACAAACTGCTGTCCAAGCCATCATAAATATCCACTGAGCTGTCGTCACCTTCCTTGAAGGGAGAAGCTTCAGCTAAAGCAATGAAAATAAAAAAGTAATAAAAAAAAAGGCCAAAGTAATAATTTAGTAAACTCCAACCTCTACCTTTCCCATAAAGTAAGTGTAGCTGTGATCCTAGACCAGTAGAGAATAGTAAAAGTAATAGCACAGACTAATAAAAGACAAGGGAATTTTATCCAGTAATCTATTGCTACTGTGGAGTAAAGATCTTTAGTCACCAGGGAGCAAAGACAATCTTGTAATATCAGTTCCTAAATACAAGAACTGTGCACAAAGCAAATTATATGGCTTTAGGTACAAATAAATTTTAAAATTATAAATTAAATAAACTTGATCTAAATTTGAAATTGTTTTCTAGAATACACTGAATACAAAAGCTATACAACTAAAAACCAAAAGAATTGATAAGATAAAACCACTACTGTTAAAAGAAACATCTCTTGCTAAAAAGAAAGTACTGTAGCAGTCTGTATCATAATTCAAACAATTTGCTTTAGTATTGCCATCTACTCACACACTAACTGGTTCTGTAAACGTATTTTAATCTAAATCTCCTCAGTCTCTCTTCATGTCTTTTTCCAATGCCTCTTATGACTCTTGTCTCCTCTATGTGAACCTCTCCAGTTCTGCAACAAACATTATTTCTATAAAGAAACATGTCAATATCCACAGTCCTTCTGAGGCTGGGAATCTCATAAATATGTGTCAAATCAACCAACTGCGGAGCTGGAAATAATGTTGGAGGACCTTTATTACTGGTACTACACCAGATGATAACACATAGCCTCTTACAAACGGCAAACAAAAGAGCAATTCCCCTAACTGTCCATGTGCAAGCTTCACTAAGGTACAGCAAAGGGTAACTTATACCCCATGAAACACAGGGGAGAGACCAATTCAGACACCCCCTCAAAACATTCCAGAAATCCAAAGTGCACAGTTATGGTTTTAAATACAAACTTACTAGGGATGAGGCTTAAAACGATACTCTGCCACAGCCGTTTAATTACAGTTGAAGCTTACCAGTATTTGTCTCAACTTTAAATTTCTTTTTAAAGTTATTTTTGGACCCATGTATTTTCATAAATCTGCTTGTATTAATTCCCTGCAATCCAGAAAGTAATCCAACGCATCTTACCACCGTAGCGGATATCAAACAGTCCCAGTCCATCCTCATCTGCTGCCATGATACAAACTCCCTATGGCTTCCCCATCTACGAGTAAAACATCAGAGCAAAGAGAACTGATTAACTGGCAGTTTCAGAATAAAAACAACATAAACCAGAAGCACCTGGAAATAAGACATTTACACCTGAGCTGCCTGTGGCCTTTCTTCTTCAATAAAATCCAACACCAGAATGAGAAAACTCTTACATCGAGAGAACAAAATGCACTTTCAAGTATGAAATTATCTGTTCTTCAAATAAGCATTCTGAAGACATTTAGCTGTATCTTATAGCTCCTCTAAAGAAAATCTGATATGAAAAGAAGCACCGCATTCTATGAACAGGTTACCTGAAAGAGCATCTTAACCAGTCAAAACAATCTGATTCGATAATTTCGATTTCTTCTCTACTGATCATTTAAGAGCAACTTCCCCTTGTCTGATATCGCCAGTCAAACCAGTAACGAGCAGAGGCAGGCGGCGTGGAGAAGGAGAATGGGACATTAGGAGGGGGCAGGATGAGGGGCAGCGGGGGGTGGGGGTGGAGCGGAGCAGTGCTGAGCAGCCTCCAGGCAGTTCAGAGGCAGCGGCCCTTGCTCACTCCTCAAGCCTCGCCCTCCCTGCACGGGCGGGAAGGGGCTCCCGCCCGCCCCAATTCCCGCCACGGCGGAAATGCTCGAGACCTCTGTCGCGGCCCCCACAACCCCCGGCGGCCCGGAGCGGCTGTGTCCGGGGTGGAGAGGCCGGCGTAGCCGGGGGTGGGCATGGCCACGTCGAGCCGTGCCGTGCCGAGCCGAGCCATGCGGCGACTCCGGCAGGGCAGGGCCGAAGCACTCACCGGACTCCCCCGCCGCAGCTCTCGCCGCCGCCGCCGCGGGTGCCGCAGGCCGGGTGGGGGCGGGGCCAGCGGCCGCTCCAGCCAACGGCCGCAGCCGCACCGCGCGCCCGCCGCCGTTACGTCACGGGACCCGCCCCTGGCCCGTGCAGTTGGCGCCAAAGTGCGGCGCGCGCGGCGGCCGCGCCCCGCCCCCTGGGTCACCGCCCCGCCCCCCGCGGCCCCGCCCCGATCGCGCGCCCCGTTCCCGGCCCGGCACCGGGAGCGGGAAGCCGTGCGCTGTCCCCGGCGGGGCGAGCCGCGATCGCCCCGCCTGCGCCAGCCCGGAGATGACGGCGCTGTGAAGGCTGCGGCGGCCGCAGGACGCTGCCGGGGCAGTGCCGCACGGCACACGCACGCTCACCTGGTGCCGCTCCCCGCTGCTGCGGCGGGGCGAGGGCGAGGCAGTTGCGGCGGCGCTCTCGGGAAACCCGAGGTTCAATCCCGGCGGCTGCTGCTGTCGGCGATCCCGCTTCCAAACCCCTGCAGGGACATCGTTACCGCCCGCGAGCCGCGCGGGGACTCCGCGAGCGGCCACGGCCGGACAGGGTACCGGGGGCTTAACGCTCCTGCCGCCCGAGCCGGAGCTGCCCGCCCGCCCTCGGCCGCCTCCACGACCCGCACCGTGACCCAGATTTAAAGGGCTCGCGGGCGGGCGGATCCAGCGGCAGTTGGCTCTCTGGGAAGCAGGGAGCGGGACAGGGAGAGCACACGGCCAACGCAACCGCGCGAAGGCGGGCTCCCCTGATCCACGGGACCGCCTGCTCTACTCCCGGACAGAACCCAGCGGCTAGGGGGCGCGGCGCACGCCGGGAGCTGTAGTTCGACGCGGCGTACGCCGGGAGCTGTAGTTCGGAGCGGGGGGCGGGGCAGGGCTGCGCTTCCCGTGACGGAGGCCGGGCGGAAGTTGGTGCCGCCGCGTCGTGCCCGCACGTGCCGCGGGAGCAGGAGAAGCGGGGAGAGGAGGATGGCGGCGGAGGACTTGCGGTTCCGCCTAGCGGAGCAGCTGCAGTTGGTGGCGCGCAGGAACGAGAAGAGCAGCGCAGAGCTGAGCAGATTCCTGGCAAAGCAGGTGGGAAGCTCGGCAGAAGTCCCCGAGCACCCGCTCTCCCTCCGGGCGGGTCTCGCAGGGACCACCGTGGAGGGGAAGGGGGCACCGCGCTGCCGTCGCCCGCTCCCCGCCCTGTGCCGCCATCTCCGCCCGGCAGCTTTGTCTGCTACCCCCCCGCCCCGTGCCGGCCCCTCGGGCGGCGGCGGAGCCGCTCTGCGGGAGCGAATCCCCGCTCTCTACCTGCCCCTTCTCCCTCCCCCTGTTGTGGTGTCTTGCCCTCCCCGGCCCTTTCAGGGGTGCAGTACGTGAGGCAGGTCCTCTCCTGTGTTCTAGTCCCCCTCCCGAGGGGGCATTTCGCCCTGCATTTAAAATTTTCGGTATCTTCCATGTCCTTTAAGGTGACTCTGGAAGCGTGATAGCGAGAGGTGGGATATTGTTATCAAGCACTGAGACAGTACTAGTGCCTACCCTGATGCTATTTGCGTGTCTTCTTTAATTACCCTAAAACTGCACGTGGGACACGTGGGATAAAAAGGCGGAGGGGTTTGCTTCGAGGGTTTTTTTTTTAATCACAGTCTCACAAGTTATAGGGATGCCGGAAACATGGTCCTTATATTCACTTATATTCACTTATATTCATTTTCATGCTTTGGCTGCCTGAACTCTGAAAAGCACACCTTCCTTCTAGGAGAGTTGAGGCCAATCTCCTTTGTGTCTCTGAAATCTTTGAAGAGATGTAATAACAGGATAACAACACACCAGATGTTGTTTTATTAATATGTTTCGTGATAAAGCTTTTGAAGCCCCAAAATTGTGTGCACATTTTGGAGCTCAAAGTCTATATTTCTCTTTTGAGTGTCTAGGAAATTTCGCAGTTGTTTGAAGATGAAAAGTCTAAAGTATCATGTTTTTTAGAATATTGGCTTTTAGTCTGGATTGCTGTCTCTTACTTATGGTTGGGGAAGGCTTTCATCCTGGTAGTCAAGGTTCTTTGTTGGTAGACAGATGGCTTTTTCTTCTGTCGCTGCAAATCACAGGATCAAAGTAAAATTGACACGAATATATATTCCTGAGATGAAGAGTTGATGCTAATTGGTGGGAAGCAGTGATGAAGGGTTGCTATCCAAGAGAAAGAAACAGCTGAGAAATAGAGCCGGGGACGATGTGGATACATGATGCAGCAGACAGATGGAGCAGTGAACCAGAAGTGAGTCACCTAGAGCTGAGATCGGGAAAGAGATCGTGCCCTTTCCCTTCTGGTGACTGGAGATACACTTCAGGTTTAAAAGTCTTGCTAGGTGGAAATTATTAAATAGTGATTATATAGAGGGAGTCTTGAACAGCATGTTAATTAGCAATTATGCATCTTTTTGAAAACTGAATTGCTGTTTCCAGGCTTGGAAGCTACAGATCTAGGATTATGTTAGGTAAACAATCTCCGTCTTCAGTTGTCATACCTGATTTCCTACAAGTTACTTTGTATGTAACCGAGGAAGCATGCGTTCTGGAAACCCTTTACCCTCAGCTTCATTATGTCTTTCTGGCAACTTATTTCTTCAATATTGCATAATGGAATAAAACTTGCTCACAACTGCTAAGTAAGGAACAGTCTTTCGAGGTTCTTAGTAAGATGCTGTTTAATGTGTTGATGGAAGGTCTTGTTCCATTACTTGAGTATGTAATAGAATTAGAGCCTTTTCTGTGGAGTATTTGTATATAACTTAACTCTGCAAAGGTACAGCAAATGTCTGTGCTCTTAATGAGGAAAACGGGATGAAAAGCTCTCTAAACCAGTCTTTGTTTCCTACCTTACCGTTTTTTAATAATTTAAATAAACTGTATAAGCAGTAGGGCTCCAAAGACGGCTGTAATGTGCTTTTGGTTCTTTGGTGTGTCACCAAAGGTGTGTCAGGAAGTCTTCCTGCATAGAATTTTAAGTGCAGTTTTTTGCAATGTGTATGTTTTGGCTCCCTGTGGTGTGTCATTTCAGTAAAGACGTTCATTGCTGTGAAGGTTAAAATGCTATTAGGAATGGAACTTTAATGCAAAAATATCCATATTCATTTCTGCCCTTTGCATCTACCACTGTGCATATATGGAAAGATATAAATCAAAAAAACTGACCCCTTTTGATATTTCTTCTGTTTAGTCTATGGAACCATCTTAAGTGGACTGGAGATCTCGAGCACACCATTCTTAATTTCCTTCTTTAATTTGTTGGTGGTTTAGCTTGGCATCCTTCATTTTGCCTTTCATTTTGCCATGTAGCAGTGAAAATTATCTTTTAGTCCTTCAGTCGTAGCATTTGATATTGATAAATGCCTTTATTCATTTATATTAATAAATGTAGGGGAAAAGAGGTGACCTACCTGTCCCAAATTCACAAAGCTACTCATTGGCTGTCAGAAAAATGTCCTGGCAACCAAGGCAGACCTTTTCTTTCTCCTAAAATATGACTTCAGCTTTTTATTTGAAAGACTAATTAGGCTTTACATTATGTAGCATTATAAATAAGGGAAACTGTATTGCGCTTTTGTTCCATCCTGGGCTGTATTGTCATCTTCTTCATCTAGTTTTGAAGAGTTGTGATTTTTGGGAAATAGCCTGTTAGTGATACAAAATCAAAGAGAAAGTTATTGCTGTTCTTGAGGGAGAGATCTGTCCAACCTTGTCAAAGACGACGTGCTGGGAGAGGTATAGGAAGTACCAGCTTGTGCTCCTTGTAAGACTGCATATCCCCTCTGCTTTTTAATTTTTTTTCTTGAAAAAGCAGGCTAGTGCTTTGCTTCATCTTACTGAACTGGACAGCTGCCAAAAAGAGTGGTGCTGCTCTGTTTTCTTTTTGCCTATTCCCAAGGCCAAACCACAGCTGTTTGTTGCTTCTCTTATTTTGAACCCAGTGAGCCTGCTGATATGAAAAATCCATTCAACTTTCTCACCCAGTGGAAGACTTTGTAAGAAGGATTAATTTGGATAATCTAGCAAAATTCATTGCTGTACAGTCATACAATGATAGAGCTGTTGTGTGAGGGAACAGAGACAAGAACATGTGTTCCTGTGTTGGAGGGGAAGAAAGATATCCCTTGCTTCCTCTTATGCCCTTCCACTCTTCAGAAGCATCCCACTGTTAAAGAAATGTGGCTTTTGTGTGGGACCAAATTGCTCATTGCTGTGATCCTTTCTTCTAGGAATCTTGGGGTTTGGATTAAGCTGTTATTAATGAGGACTTCTGTACCTTGTGAGCACTGAGTAAATTGCCATGCAGGTTGGGAAGGAGGTGTGCAACATGCTGCTAGAGCTTGGGATTGTGTTTGGCTCCAGGTCCCAATTCTAGCTGTGTGTCAGCTTCATGTGTCTTATTAATAATAGACAATGTACATACATGTTCTGTGTTTGGAGGCACAGTCTTAAAGCAGCTGTTCAGAACCATGTGTGCAGATTTACAATCCCAGATTTGAACATTTTCAGATCAGCTGTCTATTGGTACTGGTTGAGAAAGCTGAGTATTTCATAAGGCCATCTTTAGTTAAAAAACCCCTGTCTGACAGTATTCTTTTCCATAAAATTTTTAATTAGGCTCTGAAATCAAACAGACGATCTCTTTGTAGAATGCAGTGTTGCCACTGATATTTGAACAGTTTTATATGTCCTAAGAGTACTACACACAATGACTAAAAAACTGCTTGTTCTCACAGAATTGCTACTGTCATGAATTTGTCTTACAGTAGTCAAGTAATTACAGAATTTTACTGAGTCAGTCATATTATTTATTTTACTATTTTATTGTTAACTGGTTTTATTTGATACTGAAAGATCTGGTTAATAAGTTAAGCACCCTGTTGTGCCTTGTGTGGGTAGCCAAAGATGTAATTGATTTGGAAACTGAAGGTACTTTTATTTTTTTCCAGTGGAGTTTATTTCTGTTTCTTTAGAGCCATGCTGCCTTTGAACGGCTTATCAATAATTTTGCCACTCAAAAGCTGATCCCCTGTAACGAACAGTGTCTTGCTTGCTCCATTTTTTTAATTATTTTTGATTCTGCTCTGATAGATGAGAGGAAGATAAACTTCTGTTTTGTAAAAACAAACAGAAGGCACGGAAGAAACTGCTTGCAATTAATGCGATAGGTTTGATATTTATAGTGTATGTATACTGCAGTTTTTCTGATTTCTTACATGCTGTTAGGGAGTGAATGTCTTTTCAAATTCAGGAGACCGAAGGAATTTGAACACGTATGCATGTATTGTACAAGGATGTCATCAGTGGTATAACCTTAGAAGGTCACCCTTTCAAGGGACCTCAGCACTCTATATACCTTGTAACAATGAAACCAGCCCATCTGTGAGCTCAGGAGCAGGTTTTACTTGAGTAACAAGAGTCTAGGAGGAGCAGCAATTGGCTGCATGTTTTGCTAAAAAGACTACCCGAATTACAGAATATTTCTGTCTTGAATAGGAAAAGGGTTCACTCA